CCCGGCCTTCACCGGGGCTTGAACACAGAACATCCAGCACTGAGACCACGCAGCACCTGGGCAGTTTTAGTTTCAGAGTATCTGTCTCATAGGTGGCTGGCTGTCACTGACTGACAGGCCCCACCTACAAGGAGGAATACCTAATCAACTTTTACATCTTGTGCCGGCGCGGCAGAGCTACACAAGCCCGGTTGTAAGCAAGCTGGAGGTATTCTTTCAAGGTGGGAAGTTAGTTCCGCTTCACTGGCTCAAGTAGTCCGTCCTCGCTTACTTTGCTAGACTCACAGCTGTAAAGGTCGATCTGCCCTAGGTTACTTCCCCAGTTTATCCTGGTACCTATCATTTTCGGCTGGGGCAACCTGACAGTCAAGGAGCGGACAGTCTTATAAGACATTACATTGTCTTTATAGACAGAAAACAATTTAAGAATGACTCATTTTGAAAAAAGCATGCTTACTTTAATGTCAACAAACAGAAAATGCAAAATTAAATCACTTTCACAGACATTCTTAAGGTGACTGGATTCTGAAACGAACAACTGGGTCACTCAGAAGCCAAGCTCTCCTCTCATCTATGTCTGTACAAAGCAATATTCAAAAACACCATACATGCCAGTATTCAGTGTATATATGTAACAACAGAAGCATCAAACCTTGGCCACAACTATCATGGACAAATGCTGCGTGTGCAACAACAAAACAACAGATAAAATAAATGGTCACACCAGATAAATAGTCAGTCAATGAAATATAGAGACACAAGTGTGTGTGTGTGGGGAAGGGGGGTTTAAGGTAGCCACTGTCTGATAGTTATAGTGTATGAAGCATACTGAGGTAGCCAATGATGATAAATGACTCAGAATTCAAGAAAGCATAAAGAAACACTGAATTATTTGTTTGATAGTTTATATTGTATGGAACCATTCAAGTAGCCACTGATGAGGCTTGTATAACAAAAGACAAGTAGAAAAAAAAAAGTAAATATTTCAACTGTAGGGCACTATCAAACTAAACAGAAAGTGCATGTCATCATGAAATTAGACGGGAAGTGAATGTTTCAATGTTTTAACTGCAGGGCATTATGAAATTAGACAGGAAGTGAATGTTTTAACTGCAGGGCATCATGAAATTGGACAGGAAATGAATGTTTCAACTGCAGGGCATCATAAAATTAGACAGAGAAAGTGAATGTTTCAACTGTAGGGCATCATGAAATTAGACAGAAAGTGAATGTTTTAACTGCAGAGCATTGTGAAATTAGAGAGGAAGTGAATGTTAAACTGTAGGGCATCATAAAATTAGACAGAAAGTGAATGTTTCAGCTGTAGGGGATCATGAAATTAGACAGACAGAAAGTGAATGTTTTAACTTTAGACATCATGAAATAGAAAGTGAATATTTCAACTGTGTCTTTATTTATTTATGGAGCTACTGAGGTGTAGTGACCACGATGATAATGTACCAACAAAGTCATCTTTGGTTCGAGTGACTGTAATATAGCAGGTTTACATTTGGTTTAATTCACAAGAGGTCAATATACTGGGTTAAACTGAATCTTTAAATATTGTGCAGCGGGTATAATCTGTTGGATTCGAAAATGTGGGTTCAATCCACTGGCTTTTCTTTTCTGGGAAGCCAGTCAGTATTATATCATGGAAACTTCTTTTTTGCTTTTGGTATTGTATGCTCAGATCAGACCATCAGGTGGGTTGCTTCTATGAACTCACATGTCAGCTGCAGGTCCTGCAAGGTTCCCCATAGCTTGCTCTGCACACTCTGCTCTTGAGGCCAGGTGTCTTCTAAAAGTTGTAGGTAGAGTAGGCAGGTCTGCAGAATATGCTCGGGTGTTTGTGGTCCTGTTTGACAGGCACCCTGTGGTGACTGTACAATCTTATTTTATGCATGAAATCATGGAAACTCAAATATCTCAACCCCATTAAAGGCTGCACCAGCTCAGACGGTGGTTCCTGCAAAGGAGATAATTAGCAAAAGGGTGGACACCGAGAAAACAGGGACACTAAATACAGAGGCTTAATGAGCCCAAGGTGGTGGTTCCCAGTTAGCCTTTACATGTAGAGCTTTTAGTTTCAAAGGTCACCAACCGCATTTAGGGGATGGGGGTTAACAGATCCTCAGCATTTGCCCCCCCCCCCCCCCCCGTATAAAAGGTGACTAATTGGGCTCGAATGGACAAGCTGGTCAAAAGGCACTGATCATCGCAGCTTAGCTGTAAAAATCTCAACAGGGCATCAGCTTCTCTTTCAGGGGCTTATACAGAAGAAGAATAAACCATAATGAAGGGTTTGTTACAATGTAGTAATTTTACAGCAGCAGAAAGGACTACACCCTAAATTTGGCAGATTCCTTAATGTGCTCTGTGGGTCATTAAATAGAAGAAAAAAAACTGGTCTGAAGGCCTTGAGTCTGAATCCACACTGAGATGAAATTCTACAAGTTACCCACGCCTAAAATTAGTTCAGGGACCCACGCCTAAAATTAGTTCCAGGAAATGTCCTGAGTTCAAGGCAGCTGGCCTGATGTTGACTCACACTGAGTATAAAATGGTCCATGAAAATATGGGTCCAACATCGTATGCCCAATGGCCTGAAAGGTTACCTTTGTTTCACTTTTATGAAATCACAGATTAAAGAAAGGTATTTCCAGCCTACCGAGACAGATATGGCATTCTGCAAAGGTCTTCAGATATGATAACGATGATGAGTCTTATTATAAGGACACAAATTTTGCAAACAGATATTAGGCTGAGAGAAGTGCAGTATCTCTTGGAGAGGGGGAGGGGGTCCAAGGAAATCAAGGCAGAGGAACAAAGGCAACCCACCTCTAAATCATGCACAAAGATTTACAGTCAAAAAACAAGCTCAAAATATTACCCACACATAACTTTCCCCATGATTCAAGCAGGACAAACAATCAACCAACTGCTGAAAGCACTTTGCAACCGGCTCAAAAACTATGCAACATTCTTTAACCATCTTGCAAATTGCTCAAAAACTATGCACTATTCTTCAACCATCTTGCAACTGGGTTAAAAACTATGCACCATTCTTTTACCATCTTGCAACCCGTTTAAAAACTATGCACCATTCTCAACCATCTTGCAACTGGCTCAAAAACTATGCACCATTCTCAACCATCTTGCAACTGGCTCAAAAACTATGCACCATTCTCAACCATCTTGCAACTGGCTCAAAAACTATGCACCATTCTCAACCATCTTGCAACTGGCTCAAAAACTATGCACCATTCTCAACCATCTTGCAACTGGCTCAAAAACTATGCACCATTCTCAACCATCTTGCAACTGGCTCAAAAACTATGCACCATTCTCAACCATCTTGCAACTGGCTCAAAAACTATGCACCATTCTCAACCATCTTGCAACTGGCTCAAAAACTATGCACCATTCTCAACCATCTTGCAACTGGCTCATAAACTATGCACCATTCTCAACCATCTTGCAAATGACTTTCAAAACCACACAAATTCACAAAACCACACAATTCTGAATAATCTTGCAACCGATTTTCAAAAACATTCATAATTCCGAACCAGCTTGCAACTGACTTTCAAAAATACATAATATATGCAAGAAATTGCTGGATTGCCATGCTATGTACAGGAGAATTCTCATCTAATTAATTAGAATGAAACAGACAAAAGTTTAGTGGATGTCTGGATGTCACCTTCAACATTTCACAAATAATAATAAGCTATAATGAATTATCTTCTGTTTTCCACATTAATCTAAGGATGCAACTAAGCTGCTCACATGCAGCAGACGATTTTGCTGTCTGAACTATTGAGTTTAGTGCTTAGTGCAGCACTGTGAGCTGTATTTTTAATGTGGAATGCCTTTTATTTGTGCAGCGGTTGAGTCGTGGTATTTAATATGTTCGGTAGCCAGTTTACATGTTGGGTGGTGAAATACCATATGTAATAATTTTACGTGTGCATAGCCAACCTATTCTGACCGACCTCCTCCATCAATGACAAACTGCATTTCTGGTGGTGACTGATGGCTTTGGCACCTCTAGCAACTGCCATATGCATTTACTGTGTGCGCATATTTCTGGATTGTGCCAGACTAATTGTCTGTCCACCAGTTTTTCTAATGGGACAGTGAGGGACATTTTATTTCATTTTCACTGGCATATGAACGGAGCAAGTATAGTAATGACCCGATTACAGTGACGTTGAAATGTCGACTAAGACAGCATATCTGCAATGTTTGTTGCCTGCGTTAGCATTCCTGGGCACGTTATTATCATTTTAACCTACAACTAATACTACTTCAACCTATTCAGCTGTTAAATTAACCCATATGGTTATTACCTTAAGCAGCACTGCTATTTTAACAGTGTCAAATTAACCTATTTAGCTGTTACTTTCACCTACATGTTTATTCGTTGTTGTTTTTTTAACTACAGTTTGTAGATTTCTCAACCACCCATGCCCTCCTCCCTTTGTTTTAAACTTTAACCCACTCAGATTATACTTTTTTCCCCACTTAGCTCCTCCTTTCAGACACACAGATCCTTACATTTTAGTTAACCCAAGTGAATTCCCCTATCACAGACAGCTACTACTTTAACCTACATATTGACCACAAGGCTTATTCTCCCCCCCCCTCCCCCCACCACTGAGAAATGAAGGGCACAAGATGATGTGAATCTCGACAGCTTATGCGCCACAAGGAGATGTGGGCACAGCTGCTAAAGTCTGCCCTCAACAGAAGACACTCAACAGCATCTGAATCATCCTATGCTGCAAAAGGATGATGAGGACCGTGATGGTATTAATTTTAATAACTATTCCACTTTGCAAACAGACTTCAAGAAAATATAGTATAAAACTTCACTTCCCCCCATTTGAAAAGCTCAAAAAATAGACAAATCTGCAGCTGTGTCGCACTGATGTACTCCCACACACATACAAACACACTATATGTCTAAAGACGTATAAATATTTGTACAGCTCTGCCTAATCAAAGTCACTATCTTTGACTGTCGATCCATTGAGGTGGGAGTGTCCTGTCCCTAAGGAACTGACCAGCCCATTCTGTCCTTTGGCCAGGGACTCGTCCTCTTGCCTGTTGACCAGTTTGTCCATCTGTGGGTGTCCAGTACTTTTGATGGTTTGTTTGTTTCTGGCGACAAAAACTTCCTGTATAGCATTTCGGAAACACTTGAAGTTGTACTCGATGATCCCTGAAAGTAAAATTTGAAAATACTGATAAAGTCCTACTGTAGACATAAACTGATTTAGTTGTATAAATGCAAAGAATAATGGATTCATGAAGATAGGACTTCTTCTTCTTCTCTACTCCTAGAATGCCTAGCAGCATCAGGACAGAATAGATCTCTGGAACAGGAAATTTGTACAATGCAAACAAATAACAGACAATCAATACATAATGTGCTCACAGTTCACATATTTGACACTGCTATATGGGGCTGACAGTCACAGAATGCTTTCATGCTAACCTGGTAGTCTTCTGTTTGAATCTCCACAAAATAGACATTTTTTGTTATAGACTAAATCAACTTGCCCGAAATAAGTAATGGAAATGCCCTTGGAAGTTATTATTATTATTTATTATCGAACACCGGCTATGAATTCCAGTGGAAGGTCCCGGTTAATCGTCCGCTTGGACTTTTGGCTTTCACCTGGACCTGATTTTTGCGTGTACAACCGTTTTTCATTTCCTTGCCTCTTGGGCAGCTGTACGCTGACTTCGAAGGAAGACGTCAGGCCTATTTCTAGGGTGACTGTGGCCATTGTATTGTGTGGGTCGAGAAGTTTGCCTAATTTGTGTGGTGTCCATTTTGTCTCCTTCGCCGCAGGTATTGCCCCCAGAGTACCCCTTTGGGGCAGCCCCCTGTGGAACAGTTGGCCCTCAAGGGAAGGCAGGGGCAGATCATGGGCATTCCCCGCCATCCAAGGAGGCTTCCATGCATGCAGAGCCGGCACATATTGCTCTGGTTCTGGGCTCACCCAAGGAATCGTCACGTCCTGCACATGCCTGCTTAACCTCACAGCCGTATCAGGCCTCCCACTCGACAGGGGCTGCGCCCTCTGGAAGTCAGCGGGGAGCAGCCCGTGGGTTTTGGACTTTTGTGACCACACAGATAGGTGCATTAGCCTGACAGAATTTCACATCCTGAATCAGGCACATCGTTATCAGTTTTGTCCCAACACTCGGGCGAGTGGGGTCTTTGGGTGTGGATATTCGGTCTTTTTCAGTTCAGTGCAAATTTTGATGGTCAGATTTTGATCCGTATGATCTAGTTTTGTCGGACATTTAGGCTTAGCCATCCGATGGATGGTTGCTGTTGTGGTGTACCCCAGCTCGGTGACGACGACACTGAGGGTTAACCGAGGATGTACGTGAATGGCCAGCCTATGGATGGTTGTTGTTGTGGTGCACCTCAGCGCGGTGACGACGACACTGAGGGCCAACCGAGGATGTACAAGGATGGCCAGCCTATGGAAGGTTGCTGTTGTGGTTGTACCTCAGCGCGGTGACGACGACACTGAGAATTAACAGAGGATGTGCAGTGAGCAATGATCTCTTTACTCAGCAGTCTTTTAACCAAAGGTTGTAATTTTAGCTGTATGTTTGTCAACCCTACTCATGTTCCTAATGAGTTTTGATAACATTTTTCACCCAAGCGTTTGGGGGCGGGCTGATGAGAGCCACAAGGACACATCACCTCTGGGGGCCGCCAAAATCCGAGATCCCCTGACAGCTCTGTTAATGCTCATTTGAGACATTATCCGTGGCGCACGACGAGGACGTGCTGTAGGGGTCTTGCGTGAGGTTCCGTACAACCAGGATAGTGAAGGACTGGCGCCCGAGTGACGTACGGAGTATCTCCTTATACACATCATGTTGGACTTAACTTCCCCTCACGCCTGTGACATAAATCACCGCGCCACAGACCCTTGGAAGTAAATGCAGCCTTATACTGACCACAGCATCCATCAAGAAGTACTGACTGATCTTTAACAATACAGGGCTAACATCATATGTTAAGGGAGCGGCTGTGGTGTAGTGGCTAGAAGGTTGTGGTGTAGTGGCTAGAAGGTTGTGGTGTAGTGGCTAGAAGGTGGTGGTGTAGTGGCTAGAAGGTGGTGGTGTAGTGGCTAGAAGGTTGTGGTGTAGTGGCTAGAAGGTGGTGGTGTAGTGGCTAGAAGGTTGTGGTGTAGTGGCTAGAAGGTTGTGGTGTAGTGGCTAGAAGGTTGTGGTGTAGTGGCTAGAAGGTTGTGGTGTAGTGGCTAGAACGTTGTGGTGTAGTGGATAGAAGGTTGTGGGTTCAGGCCCTGATAAAGCCGGACTCACCCCCCCCCCCCCCATTACCTGGGCTCCCAGGTTGACCTAGCCATACGTTGGCACCAGATAAAGCATTGGGAAGTAAATGTGGTCGACATGATGCTGACCACACCACCAACCTAGTGCTGATTGGTCTATAAAATATATGTCTAGCCCTATATGTCCAAAACGGCTGAAGGCTGGGAAAAGGTACTTTACTTTACCATATGCCAAATATACTTCAGGTCATAGTAACTGTTCCTTGACTGTACTTGCAAAACAGCATAGAAACCTGGACAATGAGCAATGCTCCCTGACTTTACATGCAATACAGCTCTGAAACCTGGACAATAAGCAAGGCTCCCTGACTCTACCTGCAATACAGCTCTGAAACCTGGACAATGAGCAATGCTCCCTGACTTTACATGCAATATGGCTCAGAAATCTGGACAATGAGCAAGACTCCCTGACTTTACATGCAATATGGCTCTGAAACCTGGACAATGAGCAAGGTCCCCTGACTTTACATGCAATATGGCTCAGAAACCTGGCCAATGAGCAAGCAGCTGGCAAAACTGGGATGTCAGGTTTGGTCTACGCCATCCAAAATCCTGCATTAACAAAGACTAGATAGAAGTACCAACAAATGTTATACAGTAGCTCAGTCATGTATGACCAAGACCTGTCTGCCTGCCTCCCTCACTTAGTATACAGTCACTTACCTCTGTTCTCACAGCCGTCTTCCCTGAGTATACAGTCACTTACCTCTGTTCTCACAGCCGTCTTCCCTGAGTATACAGTCACTTACCTCTATCCTCACAGCCGTCTTCCCTGAGTATACAGTCACTTATCTCTGTTCTCACAGCCGTCTTCCCTGAGTATACAGTCACTTATCTCTGTTCTCACAGCCGTCTTCCCTGAGTATACAGTCACTTACCTCTGTTCTCACAGCCGTCTTCCCTGAGTATACAGTCACTTACCTCTGTTCTCACAGCCGTCTTCCCTGAGTATACAGTCACTTACCTCTGTTCTCACAGCCGTCTTCCCTGAGTATACAGTCACTTATCTCTGTTCTCACAGCCGTCTTCCCTGAGTATACAGTCACTTACCTCTGTTCTCACAGCCGTCTTCCCTGAGTATACAGTCACTTACCTCTGTTCTCACAGCCGTCTTCCCTGAGTATACAGTCACTTACCTCTGTTCTCACAGCCGTCTTCCCTGAGTATACAGTCACTTACCTCTGTTCTCACAGCCGTCTTCCCTGAGTATACAGTCACGTACCTCTGTTCTCACAGCCGTCTTCCCTGAGTATACAGTCACTTACCTCTGTTCTCACAGCCGTCTTCCCTGAGTATACACAGTAAGGCCAGGTGGCGGTTCACCTCCCGCAGGAACAGAATTGTGCTGGAGTTGAGTTTGATAAAGGAGGCCGACTCGTTGTCAAATGCCCCATCATCCCGACCACTGGCAACAGAAAAAAATATTAAACATTTGTCATAGAATTTGACTTCTTCTGCGTTCATCCGAAGATGTAAATGCGCTGTGCCCGTTTACAGAAGGGCTGCGATATTTGCGCATTTAGGTCAACACATTTGACTTCTGCTGGCATTTGTTGACTGGGTTAGTCTTCCCGGTTGAACTTAACAGAATATGGCTAACACTAAAGTTATTAAACACAACATTCACCAAAAAAAAAATAGGAAGATCACTCACCATCTGGTCAGATTACAGGTTTACAAGTACAAAAATAAGAGAGATTAAGCTAATGCATCTTCTTCTTTTATCAGTTTATGCTGTGTAATATTAGGCATAAAAGTTTCACAGATCATAGGTAGCTGAGCTAGGGCGTACTCAGCTATTAGGTATGCTGTGATGTTGTGAAGTCCTAGGTTTTCAGTGACTCCTTCAATTAATCTTCCAGCTCTCCTTGTGCCACTTAGTGTTTCCATGTTCGTGTTGTATGCTCTCGCTACTGGAACTGTTGGACTCATTTGCACAAGGTGGCCGAACATTAGTCTTTGTCTCTCAATGAATGTAAAGAATGTGTTCTAAAAGAAGTTTTTATGTCTTAATTTCTTAAACAAGCATCAGCGATCTGCCGATTTAATCCAGAACTTTGCCAACATGAGGAAATGCTCATCACTTTTGCATCACCTTGGTGAAACAGACAATGTGTAAATGTAGTCTATTTTGTGTTTCAGTTTATAGGTTTCATTTATTTGCTTCTTTTTAATCAACTGTTACTGTAGTAATCACTTGACAAGATACAGCAAAATATGCCAGGCAATAAACTGTTCAATCTATTGTTTGAATCTCTTGTGGTTTTATTCACAGTCTTTCTTAAACATCTAATTTTCACAGACTAATACCAGCTCTGAAAATTCTTGAGCAATGCATGTAGAAAGAAGAGGACAGACAACTACAGCAGGGGTATGCCATACTCAGCTTTGGTGCTTTGTCCGTGATCTCTGATGCCTTGCTGGTCACCCCATCATGAAGATAGATCAATAGATCTATCTTGGACAGAAGCTTCTCATGTGTTTGCCAAAGAATTTGAGAGGAGCAGTCTTAAATACCATTAAGTTGCTAACTGCAACAAAATGCACGCAGTTAGAAAAACAGACCAGCTATCCAGTTCAGATATTCAACTTTACATTCCAGTAGCGCAATGGCTAGCACATTTGTCTGCCGGCTCAGTGGCTATGTGATTAAGCCTCCTTCTGGCTGTGATAATTTCACTGACCTGCCCTCTCATGCTGATCTAACCATAAAATATAAGTACCAGAAGATTTCCTGGGAAGTTAAGGTGGCTGGTTTAATACTGAACACATCCCCCATTTAGTGCCAATCAGCATATTAATATGGGCACAGTATATATAAATATATATATGTACCACCAATTTGTTTAAGCTAGTATCTGAGAAGACTAGGTATCCACGTCGCTACCCCAGAGTCTTGGGCTTATTATATCAACAGCACATACACAGAAAAGTAAAACTAAAGAGCTCATCTCAAACCACTGGCACACTGGGCATATGGTGTTAGCTCCATCTACAGACCATTTAATATTCCACAGGTGATGTGGTGAACATCCCACTGGTCACATTTACTTGTGCCCAATTCAAGCTGGATGACACAGGAGTCCTAAATTATGTATGACAATGTGCGCTGATGCAGTTTCAAACCCAAGAGCTTCAGCCAAGCATCTAAAAACTGTACCACCATCGCACCCTCACCAACAGCACATAAAATGTAAAATAGAAAAACAGATATGTATTGACCAGGTCTCATAATTAGTTGATCATGTGCCTTAGTACACTTGTTTCTGCAGCAAGGCAGTGTCATCACTTGGAGATTACAGGTTCTATTTCCAGCACGATAACTAAAGCTTTTTTTTAACGTTGTCTAGCGTGTCTTATCCTTCTACTTCTTTCTATGGGTGCTGATTAATACACTGTCTGTTTGTTTAGTGTGTGTTAATGTTTTTACTGCGTGTTTCTGTATAAAAAGTAAAAGTAAAGGATTTCCCCCAGTGGCACATATGATAGAGACTCGTATTCTTACAGCTTAATGGGTAATATGGTCGAGATCACACCAGACCAATAGCGAATACTCACCCATAGATACAAGACATGTCAATAACAACATCGATCATGTCACAGCATAACTCGTAACACTGCATGTCCACCGGAGAGCTGTCGGTGGCTATGTAAATTTTGCTGACCACATCAAACAAGAATGCCTTCTCAATCTTAGAGTTCTGTTTCAGGAAAAAATATTGTTAGGTGAAAACTATTGCGGGCATGTTATAAGCACACACCAACATTCTCAGTAATCAATCAGGTGCCATCTCCTCAATGAAAGCTGACTGCAATGGATCTTTAATATTATTTCTTGTACTAGCTATACACCCTCTCAGCTGTTGTTTTCCCATTTGGTTATTATAGGGGAAACAATGACCAACATGCAACATATACAAGTAAATGGATTAGGTCTAAACCAAGTGTAAACATTTACATACTCAGATACCCTGAAAATAGCAGATGGAAGATGATGGAATACGCAGCTGAAGTACAGTTCAAGCAAAATGATGAAAATAATTAATTCTCTAATGATAGGAGAGAACTAAGGATGTTGAGAGTAATTCCTTATACTGACGAGTAAAACTACTTTACAGAGACAGGTATAACTACTGACAGAGATAACTTCTTACATCGATCTGTATAACTACATAAACTGATGAGTATAGCTATTCTAGCGATGAGTATAATTACTAACAGCAATGGCAATAGTTTCAGAGATATTCTTACACAGATTATAATGTTTAGTACTCCAGTATTTGGATCTGGTGTATGAGTTTCTATAGAACTTCAGATGAGTATAATAATCTACATGAGTATAACTACTTACGGAGATGGCAGTAACAACTTACAGAGATGATAGTGACAACTTAAAGAGATGACAGGGACAACTTACAGAGATGATAGTGACACCTTACAGAGATGACAGTGACAACTTACAGAGATGACAGTGACAACTTACAGAGATGACAGGGACAACTTACAGAGATGACCGGGACAGCTTACGGAAATGACAGTAACAACTTACAGAAATGACAGTGACAACTTACAGAGATTACAGTGACAACTTACAGAGATGACAGGGACAACTTACGGAGATGTCAGTGACAACTTACAGAGATGACAGGGACAACTTACAGAGATGACAGGGACAACTTACAGAGATGACAGTGACAACTTACAGAGATGACAGGGACAACTTACAGAGATGACAGGAACAACTTACAGAGATGACAGGGACAACTTACAGAGATGACAGGGACAACTTACAGAGATGACAGGGACAACTTACAGAGATGACAGGGACAACTTACAGAGATGACAGGGACAACTTACAGAGATGACAGTAACAGCAGAGGTTAGTGTAACCACTTACTTTGAGATGAAAGTAACAATTAACACAGATGACAGTAACAACAGAGATAACAACTTAGAGATGACTGTAACAACTTACAGAAATGACATTAGCAACTTACAGAGATGACAATGTCTAGCAAGTTCTCCAGCACTGGAAGCTGGGGTATGAGTTTCTGTACAACTTTACTGAAGGCTTCAAATATGGAGTGGTCATAGATGCTGGTCAAGTGGAAGCTGAGGGTAAAAATACAAAACAAGCAAGTGGTAAATCGACAACCTCACACGCAATGAAACAAATAAATTTAACAATCACAGTCACTCAACAAAGTAAATCAGCATAATCACTCACCACAAATGCAAGCATTCAACAAATTATTATTCAAGTGAATCAACACAATGATGTATCAAGGAAATAGACACAACCATTCACCAAGTGATTCAACACAATGATTTATCAAGGAAACAAACACAATCATTCACTAATTAAATCAACACAATCATTCACCAAGTGAATCAACACAATGATTTATCAAGGAAACAAACACAATCATTCACCAAGTGAATCAACACAATTACTCACCAAGTGAATCAGGACAAGATTTCACCAAATGAGTTAGCGTAAGTATTCACCAAGTAAACAAGATTCATCATGTAAATCAGTAACTTCGAAACACCAATCAATCCTCAGGAAAAATAAACCAAATGATTCGTTAAGTGAATCAAGACGATCATTCACCCAATAAATGAGAAACTTCAAAAACAATTTTCTTCTAAGTATATCAACAACTTTAAGTACTATCACTAAAGAAGAAAAAGAGCAAAAATGATATCACAATGGCTCACCCTAAGAGATACTACTACATCAGAACTGAGTTTGGCCCTGGCACATAATGCGATATAGTTTTAGATTTAAAGTCACCAGGATCAACTTTATCGCATTGGGTTTTATCCCATTTGGCTTAGCACCGCTATATAAAACAACTGGCTGCCTTAAAAGAATATTGCATAGAGCACATGTTTCGTAGCTCCAGCAATGATCACTGTGGACCTTTGTAAAAAGTGGACCCATGAAACCAACAACATTGTCTCTGAAACGAACCCGCGGCCTTCAGAGCAAGAGGCTTGACCACTTCAAGATAGTTATCAGGTAGGAGAAGAAATAGGATGAGAGTCGCCATGGCCGAGCGGCTAGACACCTCGCCATGGATCGAAAGGTCGTGGGTTCGCTCCCTGGCGGAGCCGGACTTTTTTTTTTCAAAAATGACCTTGGCTCCCAGGTCGACCCAGCCTTGAGTGGGTACTGGGTGCAGCCCAGGAAGTAAAGGCAGCCCGCGAGATGCTGACCACATCACCCATCTTACGCTGATTGGTCTACAAAAATATAGATCTAGCCCTATATGCCTAAAGGCGTGGAAAAGGGCTTTTTACTTTACTTCACTTAATTTTTAAAGAAATAAGACCTACCTCAGCCGGATGTTATCCATGCCTGCATCCGCTAATTCATCTGTAGCCCTCTGTAGGATATCTCGCTGCGTCTCAATTTTGTTATCATCCGACAGGCCATCCACTTTATGGATGAACACCTCAAACTTAATGCTCTCATTGATTTTGTGAGCCCGTGTGACAGCCATCTGCATACGTGACAAGGCTTCCATGTAGTCGTCCTGAGCATCGATGACAAAGATGAGGGCCCCGCAGCCTCCAAAGATGTATTCTGAGTCAAAGGTTGAGTCAAAGAAGTCAATCTGGCCAGGTATGTCCCAGATTTGAAACTGAACAAATGATGAGTTGGAAATATCTGCAGACAAAATAGAAATAAAAACTTTACTAATGGATATCTTTTAAGTTTTTTTTTCTCCTGAAAAGTCTTACGTCGAAACTTGAATCCATCAAAGATGCAAACAGCAGGGAATGGGGAGTGAGAAGCAACATTGAAATTTATCATCTGTTTAAATAACCACTGATCACTGGCATCATGAGGGTTAACAGACTGAAATGGCTGAGGTATACTGAGAGAATGTCAGATGACAGATGTAAAAAATATGTACACAAGGGGGCTGAATGGTCACAGAGCAAGACGGAGAGGTAATATCCAGATAGACCTACACATACTTGGTGTCACAAACTAGAAAATGAAGACCAACCAGAGAGATGAATGGAGGTAGATGACATCTGTAGCAATAAACCGTAAGGACTCGGAATGGTGAAGAAGAAAAATGGATTATCTTTTTTTTTTTTTATTCTTCTTTATCCATGTCAGCATCTATGGCTTGGGCATTGCCAATGTGCTCCATACTTCGGAGGTACCCGGTTCAATTCCAGCAGCGGTCGGTTTGGCATCTCTGTATTGATAATGGTATTGTTCAGAGAGTATCAAGTGGTACCGAACCAGTCATAACTATTTTCTTGTTCATCTCCCAAAACACCAGCAAGCTGGGAAGAAAAAATATCTGGTGGGGGCTGTAATAATCTGGTGATGGAAGGGCAGTTTCCGAAAACGAAGCAGGGGATGACAAGATAATGAAGATGAGAGGCACTGGCTATGAAAGTATGCATGACTGGAGAGCTGGCCGGACAAAAAAATGACCTTTAGGTTTGCCATGATAAAAGAGACATAATGTAAAAAACCTGCTGATTGATGGTGATGGTTACAATAACTGATGATGGTGGTTATAATAAGTGATGATGATGGTTACCTATGCAATATATACGCAGAATATATAATAAGAAATGTCAAAAATGATCAGACTTGTGACAGTTATGATCAGCTCAAAATTGGTGGCAATCCTTCTTCTGAACTTTGCTATGCAGATGACACAATCCTCCTTTTGAACAGCATAAAGGGATTCAAAAATTTAATATTGTCTGTTCAAAAGCACAGTGAAGATCAAAATCTTTTCTTAAATTTAAAGAAAATGAAAATAATGTCCACAAATAAAACTGGCTGCAACCCAAAAATAACAATACAAGTTGAAATTGAAAATGTCACAAACTTTGAATATCTAAGCTCTAAAATAAATAGCAATGGAGACTGTTTGACAGAAATTAAAAGAAGGATGGCCATAGCAATGCAAAGATTAAATAGTCTAAAAAGTCTTTGGTTAAGCACCAGCAAGGAGATCAAAATAAGAATTTTGAGAGCACGCGTCTTCCCTGTAGCAACATACGGATGTGAATCGTGGACTATCTCCCAGTCCTTAAGACAGAAAATAGGGGCTTTTGAGCTGAAATGCTATAGAAAGATTCTCAGAATATCTTGGACAAAGAAGAGGGGAAATACTGACATCTTGAAAGATCTGAACATCAAGGAAGACTGGCTAATAAACAGCATCATGTCTTGGAAGCTGATATATTTAGGTCCTATCAAGCGCCACGATTGGAACAAATGATAGCAGAAGGCATGGTACCAGGAAAGAGGGGCAACATGAAGATGGGCACAGGATATAAGTGACTCCTTGAGTATGAAATTATATGAGGCGGAAGAGCTGGCAAGAGACCGAGTTTCTTTCAGGCAGACCATGATGAGAGCGAAGTTCTGCAAAGGACTTGCTACATGATGATGATGATGGTTATAATAATTGACGTGATGCTACTTCTGTCAAAAATGGTGCAGGCAAAACTGATCAGTCAAGAACAATAACTTTTAAAAAAAAAATTCTACCAAGCGTCACCAGGTGGCACTTAATACTCACCGTCCTTAACAATTTTATTTGTGCTCTCCAAAAACAGAGTCTCATTTGGTGACACTTTATGGAAGACGACTTTCTGAATAGATGACTTGCCACTTCTGGGGATAGAAAATTCAAACTTTGGGTAGATTAGGCAGGTTGGTAATAAGTAGATAGTCAGACAGCAGATAAGCAGGCAGGGTGGCAGACAGAATGAACGAACGAACTTATCTTCAAAGGGTTACAATAGACAAATAGGCAGCAAGGGTGACTGACTGATACGTAGGCAGGGTGGCAGACAGAATGAACGAACGAACAAACTTATCTTCAAAGGGTTACAATAGACAAATAGGCAGCAAGGGTGACTGACTGATAAGTAGGCAGGGTGGCAGACAGAATGAACGAACGAACTTATCTTCAAAGGGTTACAATAGACAAATAGGCAGCAAGGGTGACTGACTGATACGTAGGCAGGGTGGCAGACAGAATGAACGAACAAACAAACTTATCTTCAAAGGGTTACAATAGACAAATAGGCAGCAAGGGTGACTGACTGATAAGTAGGCAGGGTGGCAGACAGAATGAACGAACGAACAAACTTATCTTCAAAGGGTTACAATAGACAAATAGGCAGCAAGGGTGACTGACTGATAAGCAGGCAGGGTGGCAGACAGAATGAACGAACGAACAAACTTATCTTCAAAGGGTTACAATAAACAAATAGGCAGCAAGGGTGACTGACATATAAGTAGGCAGGGTGGCAGACAGAATGAACGAACGAACAAACTTATCTTCAAAGGGTTACAATAAACAAATAGGCAGCAAAGGGTGACTGACATATAAGTAGGCAGGGTGGCAGACAGATAAGTAGACAAGGTGGCAGACAGATAAGTAGACAAGGTGGCAGACAGATAAGTAGACCTATATTTTCATAGACCAATCGGCACAAGATGGGTGATGTGGTGAGCATCATGCCGGCACATTTACTTCCCAGGACTGCACCCGGTACCCACTCAAGACTGGGTCCACCTGGGAGCCAAAGTCATTTTTAAAAAAAAAAAAGTCTGGCTCCGCCAGGAAGCGAACCCATGACCTTACGATCGCAAGTGTCTAGCCGATACGCCATGGTAACTCCCTAAGTAGGCAAACAGGCAGGCAGATATTCAATCACGCAGGTAGATGAAAAGGCAAGCTGCTTGGTAGGTGATTAGTGTGTCTGCAGGCTGGCAGGCAGGTTCCACACAGGTAGAACAGAAAGTCACACATTTTTGTTGATCTAAAAAAACCTACATCTACAATTTGCACACATATACTTTCTATAAGAAAACTAAGAAAATTGTCAATCAGAGAGACCTGACTTTTATCAGACTCAGAGACTGGTCATGCATCAACCCATAGCCTTCTATTTTATATATGAATGGGCGTAGATGATACAGCATATAAGCCTTAAATAGCCCTGACCATATCTTGTCCATATTTTACCAGTAAGGTAAGGTAAGTCGGGAGATGTGAACCAGCTTCACTGCACACGGTTATAAACCATAAGTGCTCTGCCACCCGTACGGACAGCTGATAAGAAATTGTTCGCCTGTGTCGCCGTTTGCACGTAACTCTGTAGCTACAGCGACGTTCCTCCATTTACCACAGAGTGTTAGCGCTGGTACCCATTTCCTAGAGGCTGGGTGAACCCCGGGAACCGCCCGGTTTCTAACAATGGCTGTGGACTGCAGCAAGTCGCAGCTTGATTTTAAAGTGAGTCTCCTTCCTTTTTACATAATACATAATTGACAGATCTAGCATATTCTGCCAGACATATTTTTGACACATCAATCGACACTCGCTGGGTGATGTGATCAACATCACACCGGCCACATCTGCTTACTAGCAGAACATATCTGGTACCCATTTTAGGTAGGGCTGACATGGAAAACAAGGCACATTTTTAGGAAAAAAATCCTGCCTAAATTCCTTGTGGATTTGAACCCAAAACTTTTGGGCTGAATAGGCTACCGTGCTGCCAACAAAACAGCAACATGAAATCTTGTAGTCCACACAACACACCTGATGTGATGCACTTTCTAACTGCCTTTGGCTGCAGCATGTTGAAGAATCAGACTTTCCCCAGTTACGCTTTAGTTAGCCACACAGTTTTCCTCACTGCTTGTTTGCTGTGTTAATTTTCTGGTATTAAAGTGATGAGATTTCTCATAAGAGACATCCAATGAAGTGTGGTGTGAGACTGACTGACTGATCCGTAGAAAACTTTGTGAAAACAACCGACAATAAGATATCAAAGAAGGAAGATAATAAATACAAAATACAAATAAAATAAATGCTAGTCACTTACCGACGCAAGCCCATTAATAATATTCTGGGCTTTTCTTCTCCAGAGTTAACTGCCCCTTCAGTCTCCGTCTCCTCGGGTCCGTACCCAAACCCCTTCGGGAAGGAGCCCACATAGGTGCCACCCTGATCGTCCTCAAAGGACTGTCCATGGAGAAAATATAATGCACAATGTTATCAGTGGGAAAATACTAAACATCAACACTGTATTCAATGGTATCAATTATATTTGTGTATTTGCAACGTTAAGAAAGCCATGAGATATATTTACTAAAAATAGAACTGGAGGGTGGTGCTGGGTGAACTTGTGAACCAAATGCTTTTTTAAAAAGCCATGCTGACGTCAAACTATTCTGTAACAGTAGTGATAAATATGGGTCACGGAATGAGTCACCTGATTCATATTTTTTTTTTACGCGGGGAATGTATTCCATTTAATGCTTCACTCTGTGTTTACTGATTACTCCCTATACATAATTCAACAACAATGTACAAATGTGGACACACAAAAATCACAACCAAAGTCCAAATAACCAGGACTCTCCACACGAGCTTACAACCGGTGAACAAAGAAGAAAAAAAAAAAGCTTGTGGAGGGAGGGGGGTGTCAGTGGGTTTATTCTAACCCCTCCCCCCTTTCAATGGTAGCTCGAGATTCCTTACTTATCACCTTCCCTTTCCATGAATCCCCTCGTGGGTTCCAGGGCCCTATTATAGAGAAAACAAGAATAGACCCACTGCCTACCAAAAAGCATGTGGTAAGAGTCGACATTGCGAGCTTCCTTCAAAGTCGGAATGCATCTGCCTGAGAGGCAAGGAACCAGCAGTCTGTTTAGAAATGAGTCAGATCTGTCAAATGGATGCACACGCAACACTAAGGACTGCAGACCAGAAGTGGATAAACAACCAGAACTTTCCGCCGGAGTTTACAGGTGGTGAACGCAAAGAAGAAGAACTTTCGGCCAGAGTTTACAGGTGGTGAACGCAAAGAAGAAGAACTTTCCGCCAGAGTTTACAGGTGGTGAACGCGAAGAAGAACTTTCCGCCAGAGTTTACAGGTGGTGAACGCGAAGAAGAAGAACTTTCCGCCAGAGTTTACAGGTGGTGAACGCGAAGAAGAAGAACTTTCCGCCAGAGTTTACAGGTGGTGAACGCGAAGAAGAAGAACTTTCCGCCAGAGTTTACAGGTGGTGAACGCGAAGAAGAAGAACTTTCCGCCAGAGTTTACAGGTGGTGAACGCGAAGAAGAAGAACTTTCCGCCAGAGTTTACAGGTGGTGAAGGCGAAGAAGAAGAACTTTCTGCCAGAGTTTACAGGTGGTGAACGCGAAGAAGAAGAACTTTCCGCCATAGTTTACAGCTGGTGAAGGCGAAGAAGAAGAACTTTCCGCCAGAGTTTACAGGTGGTGAATGCGAAGAAGAAGAACTTTCCGCCAGAGTTTACAGGTGGTGAACACAAAGAAGAAGAACTTTCCGCCAGAGTTTACAGGTGGTGAACGCGAAGAAGAAGAACTTTCCGCCATAGTTTACAGGTGGTGAAGGCGAAGAAGAAGAACTTTCTGCCAGAGTTTACAGGTGGTGAACGCGAAGAAGAAGAACTTTCCGCCAGAGTTTACAGGTGGTGAACACAAAGAAGAAGAACTTTCCGCCAGAGTTTACAGGTGGTGAACGCGAAGAAGAAGAACTTTCCGCCAGAGTTTACAGGTGGTGAACGCGAAGAAGAAGAACTTTCCGCCAGAGTTTACAGCTGGTGAACGCGAAGAAGAAGAACTTTCCGCCAGAGTTTACAGGTGGTGAACGCGAAGAAGAAGAACTTTCCAGAACATTTTTGCCATCTATTTAAGACCTGCCTGACCTGGAAGATCAGGTGAATGGAAAAAATCCCAAACTCAAAGAGGATTCAAACATATAACCGCCAGGCAAGCATGCTAGCTCCTGTGACTTCCTCACTTCATTATGTACCACCTCTATACTGGAGGCTGGCTGCAGTGCAATCACCGTTATCACTGAGGCCTCAAATTCTTCCATGGTGTGACCCTCATACTACTGCCTGAAAGCCACAGGAACATTGTTTTCTCGACCACCCCCTTCAGAAATGAACACTTATACTTCATTAAATGCTAGGAAATACTGATATCATCACCCCTTCCACTGGTGTTAACCAAACAAGGTCAGGTGTACTTTCTCTGACCTCTGTATCCATTGCTAGCCTAAAAGTGGTCACTGACCTAAATATGAGACATAAATATCATTATCAGCTTATCAGGATAGCATGTTTTGCCTAGCTCTTACAGAATTCATCATCATCCTCACCATCACACTAACACGCAAAGATAATGAACAGGTACAGAAACTCTAAGAAGCACAGAGGTAATATAGTTAGTGGGCTTGCCAGTTAAGACAAAAAAACTACTGGCAGGCTTACATAATGTTGAGATAGCCCTTAATGATAATAAATTAGAGAATGAGGTGAAAAAGATGGAAGAATATAGGGAGAGCTGGTAAAGGATGGGACAACCTTGTTGAGGGATATAGTTAGTTATTTAACTTTTACAGTATTTTGCAGAACCCTAACATTGTTTTTGGCTGTTGCAGTTTTTCTAGGCAAATTTTACGTTCAGTAGTTTGCTATTGCTCTCTGAACAGTTAGCTCACAATAACTCTGTTGAAACCAACACAAGAGGTTCTGCTGCCAAATCGCCCCCTCCATGACCTTTGGGTCCGCAGACGAGTATCTTGCCGCTTCACCATGGGGCTCCCTGTGAACTGCAGACTTAAATCATATTATGATCTCCTGCGTGGGTTCTCTGGCTCCATTTTGGAGGATCCACTGCCCCCTTAACAAGCATGTCGTATGAGACGACTAATAAGAAATATATTTCCTTCAAACTTGGAGTGCATACACCTGAGAGGCAAGAAATCAATAGTCTGCACACAAAAAAGTCAGATCTGTAAAATGGATGTGTATGCAAAGCTCAAGCTCGTGATCAAGACTAAAGTCAAGGAGTGGACGAACAACCAGGACTTTCCAGAGTTTGCAGCCACTAAATGCGATAATATGATCAAAGCAATACATAATCAGTTGGTCAATAGAAAGTATTTTTGCAGAACCTTACTCCCATAAAAACCTTCCGGAAAACTCGATCACAAGCAAGATGTCCTGCATCAGCTACACCCATCTGGAGATCATCCGCCACATCCTGCACTCATTTTCTATTTGGCCTTCCTCTTCCCATCCACCCTTCCATTACTGTTCTCTCTAAACTTTCATGACATTTCAATTTTCTGTGTTTTATCACCTTTAATAGCCAACCTTCTTCAATATTCAGTTCTTGAAGTATGGATTCATTTGTTCTTTTCTTTGCCAATGATATTCTTAGAACAGTTAATACATCATACCTTTTTAATATACTTTTAGTAGCACTGAATACAACACAAACTTGACTATAAAGCTCGACAAAGGGAATGAAAAAGATGTGCACAAATATAACCAGATGTTCCTACCAAGTCTCTATCATTAAGGTATTAAATGCAACCCAAACGGTGACCAGAAAATTTAACTGGCAAGACAGCAGAGCTTGCCAACAATCTCAATCATCAAGTATGGAGAATTATCAACTGCAGTCACTCCTACTCCCTGTGTTAAAGAGTTTGTTAATTGAACGAAAAGCTAAAGACAAGTATTCTCTCTAATTTGTGCTCTTTTCCCTTACTTTCATATTCAATCTTCTTCTCCTCATATTATTTCAATAGCCCCAAGGCTTCCCCAATGTCTGGCTGATATTTATATTAACATCCCAATGCAATCAGTTAGCTACAATGTTTGTTCAAGGGGTGACTAAGCACAACCATATTACTTGTGTATCGAATGCATAAACACCAATAAAACCCAGTTAGCTGGGTTAAATATCATATCATATCTGTACAGACCTTTAACTCGACACATCACATGTGTAAAACCACAGCTGTACATCATATTTATATGAGACGTAGCTGCATGGAAGACAAAGTAACCTAGTGGCTAGATGTCTGCCAACTGGACCAAGGGTACTGGGTTTGATTTTGCTATTACTGCAGCCTGTGTCCATTTTTTTTTTTACAATGACCAGTTATGGACATTCTGTGTGGTTTTCATTGGCACAGGAATGGAGCAACTATGGGGTGACCTGTCTGCCATAAAGTTGTACCTGTGATAACCTGATTACCTGCACCAAAGTTGATTTTGTAGAAAATGCTTCCAAGACAATTCACTCTAACATATTTACCTGGAAGCAAAGGTGGTAGACACTATGGTGATCACATCACTAATTAAGTGGTGAGAGGCTTTAATAATTTTAGCCAAGCAATTTAAGCCAGATTATTTATTTCTTTAATGCCCTTGGCACCCAGGTAAAGTCCTAGGAAGTAATCGTAGTCAGCCTGATGTTGACTGCATAATACATCAATTGCCGATTGGTCTATAAAACGCAGGTCTAAAACTGTATGCCCAATATGCCTAAGGGTGTAGAAAAGAGTCCTTATTCTATAAGCCAGATGCATCAACAGTGTTAGAAGGGTCCATTACAGGTGTTTACTTAACAAGCGAATTCAGTTAAAGTGTTAGTGCCTTTACATAGTTTTACTTAGAGCTACATGTGAGCGTGTCGTGTGTTAGTTATGTGCCTAGAGTGCTACTGGGTTAGTTAGTATTTAGTATCCACATAGTATTTAGTATCCACATGTCTATCTTTTAGGAAAAAGACATACTTATGAATGCAGAAACATTGCTTCTGTTAACCAGGCTCTATGGCTATTCAACTAGATTTACTCAGGGGTCAAGATGTATAAAATGGGGATCATCACAGGCCAGAGGCAGTTATCTTGTCATTCCTTTGTAGAATGCAATTTTTTAGTTATTTGAAGCCCTACTCTGGCTATTGCCAGGGGCCGCAATATAGCCCGGCCATAAATATGGTCTAGTGGCTGAACGCGGTTTCTGGGACCTCTCCACGGGGGATCCTCATTGCTTGTGTGATGTCCTGGTGGGGTAAGAGAAAAGAGAAAGAGATAAGACCAGAGGCCCGAGCTGCAGCGTAGAAAGATCAGAAGTTAGTCTTTTCACTTGAGCCTAAGGTGGTGCATACAGCGAAGGTCATAGCTCTGCAT